ATGAATAAACTTGCATTTTATTTTCATTTTAGTGTGTGCAGAAGCTTATAATCCCGATGAAGAGGAAGACGACACTGAATTGAGGGTACGTACACTCAGGATCATACGCCTAGGGTATGGCTCAGTGGCTAAGATGCTGAAGGTTGCCAGTTTGGCAGTTTGAATCCCTAGCGCCGCATAACAGAGTGAGCNGGTATAGGGTTTCCTGCCTAGGCAGGGGGTTGGACTAGAAGACCTCCAAGGTCCCTTCCAACTCTGCTATTGTATTGTATTGTATTATTGTATTTTCCTTAAATACACATTAAGGAAGGATTATGTTTAAGAATTAAAAAACATGGTTTATGAATCCCTAGGAGGAAGGTTACTTCTGGTTATTTTCAAGTATTTGAATAAGCAGAAGTGTAGCATTTCTGGAGCAAGGATCTCAGTTAAATAAACCGAGTTTGTCTTAATTTAGAACTTTCCAGATTGATAGAGAAAGATGATCTTATGTGGAAAATTATTGGCCAAACATTTGTGTGAGAATAAACTGTGAACTGATCTGGACTCTTGTGTTATGATAGCAGTCAGCTACCAGATGTGGGCTATAAGCAATAGTTGACATCTGGAATAAATTCACAGACCCAATTCATAAAACAGTAAGTTTGGGAGAGCTTTGAAACAAATGACGTTGCTATCATTTGACAAGCAAATAACTAATTAGTAAGAATGAACCATGGGGTTTTCAAAGAGAACAATACCTTTTTAATGAAATAGTTTAAGTCTTTTTTTTTTTTTTTGGTAAAAAGCTGATCTGTCTGGGAGCAATTTATTATTAATCTCTTTTCAGGGTAAGATGGATGGCATATAAATTTAATTTGAAAAGAAATAAGAAATTTAACGGGATATATTTTTAGTAGTAAAAAATAATAATAAATTGCAGATGAAGTCAAATATTAAAAAACGGGAATTAATCCGGAACTTCCAGGAGGCCCATTCCGCCCCCCTCTCCCCGAGCCGCTGCGCGAACCCTGCACTTCCCTTGCATCTCAAACGGGCCGCGTGGAGACTCCTGGGAGAGGCGGGGTAGGCAGGGCCAGCCAGGGGTGGGATTTGGAGGTTCTCCGAACCGGCCATACGTTAGCTACGGGTTCTCCTGAATCCAGTAGCAGCCCACCCCTGAGGTCCGTAGTTAAATGGATCATGAATGCAAACATTGGGCTTTTTGTAAAATTCATCCACGTGAGACGCAACTTGGAATGGACTCCCTTGTTCTGAGAAATTCTTAAGTTCGAAACCCCACCTTGGCAAAATTTTCAGCTTACACAGGAGGATGGACCCTCAAACGTGGTTGGCACTGAAGAAGTTAACCCAGGACAATACTGACGACATACTTGCGAGTGTGACCTTTTTGCTCCGATTAAATGCCGTCCCTGCCAATCTTCGGGGGTGGGGGAGGGTGGAGGAGAAGGAGAGCATCTTTCGGAAAAGTTTATTAAGTGACAAATCTCATCGGTGCTAATCGCCTTGAATGCAACCAGAAGAGGTTGGCGCATTTGAAAGACCATCTGAGCTGGGAAGCTTTGTGAATTGGCACAAGGACAGCAATAGCACTTATATACCGCTTCACAGTGCTTTTGCAGCCCTCTCTAAGCGGTTTACAGAGTCAGCCTCTTGCCCCCAACAATTTGGGTCCTCATTTTACCGACCGCAGAAGGACGGAAGGTTGAGTCAACCTTGAGCCGACGAGAATTGAACTGCTGACAGTAGGCAGAATTAGCCTGCAATAACCCATTCTAACCACTGTGCCACCAGGCAGGAGAATAAGAAAGGGAATAAGAAAGAGAGGAAGGGAGGGAGGGAGTAACAATAGCACTAAGACGTGTACGTACGTATGTACGTACGTATGTACGNTGGGTATGTCTAGTTTAATGAAAAGAAGGACTAGGGGAGACATGATAGCAGTCTTCCAATATTTGAGTGGCTACCACAAAGAAGAGGGGGTCAAGCTATTCTCCAAAGCACCTCAAGGCAGAACAAGAAACAATGGGTGGAAACTAATCAAGGAGAGAAGCAACCTAGAACTAAGGAGACATTTCCAAGCAGTGAGGATAGTTAAATCAGTGGTCAACTTGCCTTCAGAAAGATATAATAGAAAGATTAGCTGCATTTCGGTGCTTATGTTAAACTCCGGCTAAAAGTTCTTATTGAAGAATGTACTATTCGCCTGCACTTGTACTTAATGTTGTGTACTCAGAACTAGAAATGCGTAGAAATTGTTTTCTCTGTATTCCTAGCCTGATGGCTCTTCTGCTTACATAAGTGATTTAATGCATTATTTATTGGTCATTGAAATTAGCTTAACTTTTTTTTTTCCACAAAGGAAAGATGATTTAGTGCATGAAAAAGATTACCTTTCCGTTCTGATCCTCACCAGCCATTTATTTCCATCTTTGCGCTAAAAGAATCGGATTTCCATTTCTTCCTGCAGAATAGGCCTATTGTGTTACCTTCGACTGATATTGTTCTTTCTGAATTCCACTTTATACAAGAAGCATAATGGCCTTAAGAGGCCCATTCTCCACTTTCCTGGTCCTCAGGATTATACGCCTGTTTTGCTTGAAGATGTATTATATCCTTGAGTTGTATTCAAATGTTTATATATTTTCTGAAATGAGGTGGCTGACAACAGAAAGGATTTTTTTCCCCATCAAGGCAACCACTCAACATACTTCAGTTGTTGTTGTTAGTTGTGAAGTCGTGTCCGATCCATCGTGACCCCATGGACAACGTTCCTCCAGGCCTTCCTGTCCTCTACCATCCTCCGGAGTCCATTTAAGCTCAGGCCGACTGCTTTGGTGACTCCATCCAGCCACCTCCTTCTCTGTTGTCCCCTTCTTCTTCTGCCCTCCATCGTTCCCAGCATGAGGCTCTTCTCCAGGGAGTCCTTCCNAATGAGGACCCGGATTGTTGTTGGGGGCAATATGCTGACTCTGTAAACCGCTTAGAGAGGGCTGAAAGCCCTATGAAGCGGTATATAAGTCTACTGTTATTGCTATTGCTATTCTAGTCCAACCCCCTGCTTAGGCAGGAAACCCTACACCACATTTTACTGACCTCAGAGGACCAAGAGTCTCTGTCTCTGTCTGTCTGTCTCTCTTTCCCTCCCTCTCTCTCCTATTGCATACATTTTGTGAATTTTACGTTTTTCATCTAGATTACAGGTTGCTGTTTATTTAGCAATGGGGAAAGCAAAAGGCTTGGCTTGAAATGCCACTTAAAGTTTTAATCACCTGTGAAGCTTTTAGCATGCAGACAGAAGAAGATAGGAGCATAAAAGGATATGGGACACAGTTGCGCTAAAAGCTTTCTAAGTGGTGTAATGTCGCAGTTCAAGATATCTTGTGTTTTGTTCTGATCACAGCCGGCTTATTCGATTGGCTTTGGGATACTGGGAGTCGGCCAGGCCCTCTCAAAAAATGGTACCACCAGACCAGCCTGGTAGAAATTCTTTGGGGAGGGTTTTGCTGGAGGTGGTTGATGGACGGCGGATCCCCCTTCCCTCCTTGTGCATCCTGCTCCCTCCCTTCTCCGGTCATTTAATAATAAGTTGTATTTCTGGTGTTATTTGACAGACATAATTTTTATGGTTTTGTTGCTTTCAACATTGTAAGCGGTACAGAGTTGCCTTATGGACAGCAATCAAATTGGATGGATGGATGGATTGATGGATGGATGGATAGATGGATGGATATAGATTGGATAAATGGATAGATATAGATTAGATGGATGGATGGATGGATAGATGGATAGATATAGATTGGATGGATGGATGGATAGATGGATAGATAAATGGATAGATACTGATTAGATGGATGAATGGATAGATAGACAGATATAGAAAGATATAGAAAGATATAGATAGATAGATATAAGATTGGATGGATGGATGGATGAATGGGTAGTCCATCCCTCCATCATCCATCCATCCATTCAATCTATAGTATCCATCCATCCAATCTATAGTATCCATCTATCCATCCCATCCATCCAATTGGATGGATGGGATGGATAGATGGATACTATAGATTGGATGGAGGGATGGAGGGATGGAGGGATGGAGGGATAGAGGTTAGGCAGATATAGATAGATATAGATTGGATGGATGGATCATGGATGGATAGATAGATATAATTGGATGGATGGATTGATGGATATAGATTGGATAGATAGATATAGATAGGTATAGATTGGATGGATGGATAGAGGATAGATAGGCAGATATAGATAAATATAGAATGGATGGATCTTGGATGGATAGATAGATATACATTGGATGGATGGATGGATAGATATAGATTGGATGGATAGATAGACATAGATGTATATAGATTGGATGGGTGGATAGATGGTTAGATATAGATTAGATGGGTAGATAGACGGATAGATGAATAGATGGATAGATAGATATAGATTACATGGATGGATGGATAGATATTGACAGATAGAGATAGACATGATGGATGAATGGTTAGGTAGGTAGGTAGATTAGATTTTAGGTAGATAGATNGCGGGCCCTACAATTACGTGGCATCCCAAACGGACCGTATGGGAACTCCTGGGAGGGGTGGTGGGAGGGAAGGAGCGGGGCAGGCGGCAGGGCCAGCCAGGGGTGGGATTTGTGGTTCTCCGAACTAGGCAGATTCCCGAAACCGTGCAAACCTGCAGCAGCCCACCCCTGCCTCTTTCTCCCCCCTCCCTCCCACTCCGGGCTGCCAACCCAGAAAGATTGGGGAAATCTGGGCTAGAGAGTGTCATGGTTCACATCTACCAAAGAGAATGGGGGCTGGCTGCCAGAGAACCCAAAGACGAATGCGGAACTTCGGTTTCCAAGGAAATATCTTTGGAAACGGGCCTTCAAAAGTGGTCCTCCTCCTTTTGGGTTCTTGATGAAAAACAAAGCGGATGATTTAATTCGCTGGTCGCTGACTGCAATAATGAAATTGATGGGTTAACAGGAGCAGATGTCTCAGGTTCTGGATGCCATGTTTGAAAAGCTGGTTGAAGGAGGAGAGCACGTCATTGATCAAGGCGACGACGGGGACAACTTCTATGTAATCGATGAGTAAGTCTCTAAAGGGTATTGGTGTGCAAAAGGGGTCGACTCGCAAAGCATCCCTGGCCTGCTCTCGAGTTGCCATAGGAAAGTGAGGATGGGAAACCGATGAAACGGCAGCCAAAGACAGATGCATATTCCAGACTTATCTCTCTCAAGGCTGTATCCCAGGGTTACTTACAGCGGCCGGAGGGGAGTGATCTCTACAATTGCCCTGTTGACAAATGTGATGGATGACACACCTTGGGGGGGAGAGAGGTCATAATTGGGGCCGTAAATTACGTGGGGTCAGAGCTGGCTTCACTTGGGAATGTGCCGACATGAAGCTCCTAATAAATAGCTGGATTTCTTTTGAAGCTTGGCTCGAGGCTCATGATTTAATTGTCAGAACCCTGACAAAAGACTGATATTGTAATATTGTGTTGTGTAGTACAGGGAGCCCTTGACTTACAACTGTTCTCTTAGCGACCGTTTGAAGTTCCTGAAAAAAGCGACTTGGGACCACTTATAACCGTGGCAGTGGTTCCACCACAAAACCGTGAAGCCCTTATCCACGCCGACATAAGTGCGGAGGGCAAATCCGCGCCTTCCGAAGCACTCAGCACCCTAAACCTAACCCTAAACCTAACCCTAACCGTAAAGCAAACCCCTAAACCTAATCCTAACCCTTACCTTAAGTTAAATCGGCTTTTTGCCGCCGCGCTGTTTTAAAGCGCCCTTCTGCCGCTGCGCTGTTGTCGCGGCGGTGATGACGTCGCGGTGACGACGTCGCGGCTTTAGC